CCTCTTTTCTGTTGTCCATGCTTAGTGTGGCACAGACAGACACACAATGCAAAGGTTAAGTGAACGTCTCTCCTTTTTATCTGCTTTCAGGTGTGATTTCTATATTGCCCACACCTGTTACTTGCCCCAGTGAGTTTACAGGAGCATCACATGCTTGTAAAGAGAGAGAAAAAGAGATAGTCATGGCCAAAATTATTCATTGATTATGTATCATTTATCATATATCATATATTTTATATATTTTTTATTATACCATTTTTTAATGTATATTTTTTAATCACTTAATATATTATTATTTTGTATATATTTTTATTATGTAATTTATGATATTTTTCTTATTTTTAATTCTTATTATTTTTAGTAAAATACAGTATAGTATGTATATTCTGTATATTAATAAAAAAATTTAAGAATAAAAAAATTAAAAATAATAAAATAAATGATATATAATTATATATATTCACTCAGTTAAAACCTTAAAGAGAAAAAAAAAAAATATTACAATCTCAGAGTTACATGACATAGATCAGAGATTATCTGGCAAATAAAGATTTTCATCCAACACGGAACAAAGTCCACTTTTTCAAGTATTCTTATACAACTCAAAGGTATAGATCGGCCTTTCTCAACCTCTCTACCCTAAAGAAAGCATTGAAATAATTTTTAAGTCTTGAAGGACCTCTGCTAAAACCAATGAATTGCAGATGGGAAGAATGTCCCTCACATTGGTAATCAGTGGGAAGAATGTCCCTCACATTGGTGATCAGTGGGAAGAATGCTCCTTACATTGGGGGTCAGTGGGATGAATGTCCCTTACATTGGGGGTCAGTGGGAAGAATGCTCCTTAAATTGGTGATCAGTGGGAAGAATGTCCCTTACATTGGTGATCAGTGGGAAGAATGTCCCTTACATTGGTGATCAGTGAGAAGAATGGCTCCTTACATTGGTGATCAGTGGGAAGAATGCACCTTACATTGGTGATCAGTGAGAAGAATGGCCCTTACATTGGTGATCAGTGGGAAGAATGTCCCTTACATTGGTGATCAGTGAGAAGAATGCTCCTTACATTGGTGATCAGTGGGAAGAATGTCCCTTACATTGGTGATCAGTGAGAAGAATGGCCCTTACATTGGTGATCAGTGGGAAGAATGCACCTTACATTGGTGGTCAGTAGGAAGAATGTCCCTTACATTGGTGATCAGTGGGAAGAATGCTCCTTACATTGGTAGTCAGTGGGAAGAATGCTCCTTACATTGGTGATCAGTGGGAAGAATGCCCCTTACATTGATGGTCAGTGGGAAGAATGTCCCTTACATTGGTGATCAGTGGGAAGAATGTTCCTTACATTGGTGGTCAGTGGGAAGAATGTCCCTTACATTGGTGATCAGTGGGAAGAATGTCCCTTACATTGGTGATCAGTGGGAAGAATGCTCCTTACATTGGCAGTCAGTGGGAAGAATGTCCCTTACATTGGCAGTCAGTGGGAAGAATGCTCCTCACATTGGTGGTCACGGTAGACCTCTTTAAATTTTACTTTTCCATTTACAGGTCTGCAATAGCGCTCTTGCAATAGTGATATCATTTATTGGTTGATTATTGTTCTAGGTGCTCCACCATGAATAAGCTGGACAACAACACCAAGAGGAAGGATGGAGGACTGTTCTCACCAACACAACACAAAGTACGTACGCTTAATAAAATCGTTATATTAACTATACGGAAGACCTTTATGTAATTACTAAACATTAACTCCTTATTAGATGGTTCTCAGGCCTTAGGATCCATTCACACTGGGATGTGTAGCCCAACACATTCCCTAGGCTTAGAAAGCAGAAAAACAATTAAGGCTGATCTCACCATTGTGTTGTATTGCGCCTTGTTTCGTTGCGTATTTATGTTTCCTATCCTATACCATATACCCTCCAGTTAATACCCTGTACCAGCCTTTCCCAACCTTTTCTACACAGAAGAACCTTTGAAATAACTTTCTGGTCTCAGAGAACCCCTAAACCTCCCTAAATCTACAACTCATGATGCATTTGTGTGATGGTCAGCGGGAAGAATGCTCCTCACACTTGTGGTCAAGGAGAAGAATTACCCCCTTATAGATAGCTAAAGAGATCATTGGTGTCAGTGAGAACTTACTGATTGGTCATCAGTGCTGGGACACTGTCATGTAGAGCCCATGGAGAACATGTCAAATTTTGCCCCCCCCCCCCCTTCTCTCCAAGATGTGTGAACAAAAATCCCCTCCCCCCCAAAATATTGAGCACTAATCTGCATACTTACCCCCTAAGCATAAATTCCCCCTTCCAGTACAAAGCCCCCTCTGCTGAAAATCTCCCCTCCCAGCACAAATATTTGCCAACCCCCCATTCTATCTAGCTCAAATCCTCTTCCCCCTTCTCTATTCCCCCTCCTCTATTACAAATATATATATATATATATATATATATATATATATAAAACGCCGTCAATTTACTCAGCGCTTTACATATATATTGTACATTCACATCAGTCCCTAACCCTCAAGGGGTGTACAATCTAAGGTCCCTAACTCACATTCATACATACACATACTAGGTACAATTTAGACAGGAGCCAATTAACCTACCAACATGTCTTTGGAGTGTGGGAGGAAACTGGAGCACCCGGAGGAAACCCACGCAGGCACAGGGAGAACATACAAACTCCAGGCAGGTGGTGCTGTGGTTGGGATTCGAAAGGACGACCCAAGTACTGCCAGGCTGAAGTGCTAACCATTTAGCCACTGATCTGCCCACCACTCAAATTTTCCCCTCCTAGCCTAAATCCCCCCCCCCCCACCAGGGGCGGACTGACCATTTGGAAACTTTGGGCCCGGGGTCAGTAGGGGGCCCCATGAGATGCCCCTGGTACCTTTTTCATAGGCTTTTTTGAGTTTGGGCAAGGACACAGAGGCCCCATGTGAACCCCTATTGCCCGGGAGCCCCATGAGTTGTCAGTCCGCCCCTGCCCCCCACCAAAAAAAATTTCCCCTATAAGCACAAATACCCCCCAATCATCCCTACTAGCACAAATCCCCCCCCAAAAAAAAAAAAATCCCCTCCTAGCGCAAATGCCCTCTTTTCCCCTCTCCATATCACCTCTGTTAGCACAAATCCCCCCTCCTAGCACAAATTATGGGCGGATTAACAACTCATGGGGCCCCCGGGCAATAGGGGATCATGGGGCCCCTGTGTCCTTGCCCAAACTCAAAAAAGCCTATGAAAAAGGTACCAGGGGCATCTCATGGGGCCCCCTACTGACCCCGGGCCCTCGGGCAGTGCCCGAGTTTCCAAATGGTCAGTCCACCCCTGCTCCCAACACAAATCCCCCCAAATCATCACTCCCACCACACCTCCCCAAATTTCTCCTTCTAGAACAATTCTTACCCCCTGCCGCCCTGCAAATTTCCCCTCCCAACACAAATCCCCTCCTCCGAATCTCCCTTGTGGTGCCCCACATGATGCCACAGTGCCCAGGGCAGTCGCCCCTCCTGTCCACCCCTTATGTTGCTCATTGCTCATGGAACCCACAGCAATCTCTGGAGGAACTTTGGTTGAGAAACTCTGGTCTACACTCACCGACCACTTTGTTAGGTACACCTTGTCAGTGCCAAGAAAATCTCCCCTTCCATGTTGTTTACCATCTGAATAACTGTAATGAAGAACAAAAACAAAAGCGCACCAACCTTGCGCATTACCTCGGTGAGTAAAGGGTAAATTTATGGAATTGAGATATATACTCACAAAAGTAGCAATATTAAAAGCATATAAAATCCAACATCTGCTCACTGGGATAGCAGACACGTGCGGGTCCCATCGAGAGGGGAGACTCTCAGGACAAATCTAATACATTTCGAAGGATGATCCCTTCTTCCTCAGAGCTCTGAGGATCTCCAGATCTGAGGGAGACATAGTGAATGCAGGGTCTGGGGAGACCAGATATAGTGAATGCAGGGTCCGGGGAGAGCAAATATAGTGAATGCAGGGTCCGGGGAGAGCGGATATAGTGAATGCAGGGTCCGGGGAGATCAGATATAGTGAATGCAGGGTCCGGGGGGAGAGCGGATATAGTGAATGCAGGGTCCGGGGAGATCAGATATAGTGAATGCAGGGACCGGAGAGACCGGATATAGTGAATGCAGGGTCCGGGGAGACCAGATATAGTAAATGCAGGGTCTGGGGAGACCAGATATAGTGAATGCAGGGTCCGGGGAGATCAGATATAGTGAATGCAGGGTCCGGGGGATCATCAGATATAGTGAATGCAGGGTCCGGGGAGAGCGGATATAGTGAATGCAGGGACCGGAGAGACCAGATATAGTGAATGCAGGGTCCGGGGAGACCAGATATAGTGAATGCAGGGTCCGAGAGACCTGATATAGTGAACTTCAAAGACATGCTGGTAGGTTAATTGGCTCCTGTCTAAATTGTCCCTAGTATGTGTATGTATGAATGTGAGTTAGGGACCTTAGATTGTACGCCCCTTGAGGGTTAGGGACTGATGTGAATGTACAATATATATGTAAAGCGCTGCGTAAATTGACGGCGCTATATAAGTACCTGAAATAAATAAATAATGCTGCGTCCTGGGTTTAGTTAAATCCCCTTTCTTCCCCATTCCGATGCTCGGTTTGAACTTCAGCAAGTAAATTTGTGTTATCAAGCGATTGAACAGGTGTACCTAATAAAGAGGCTGGTGAGTGTATACTGAAAATAATCCTTCATGTGGTATTTGTATCTCTGATGAAGGGGGACCTTTTGATCCTCTGAAATGTGTTGGGTTTTCTATGATCTCAGAATCTCAATAAAATGAAATCTGGACTTCATATGTTCTGCTTTTGGTGGTTTTCTCCTCACACACTGGTCTTGTAGAGTTACCAAACCATTTACTATTTACCATTCGAATGATAGTATCCTCGAATCCTTGGCTGAATTGTTGCCTTTTATTCCAAGTATTTCAGGCCCAGGATAATCATGAGCATTTTGTTTTCCAGGACACGTTTTAAAAGTCGCCAGTCTCACTTCCACAGCGACTTGAACTGCCCGGTGTGTCTTCAGACGGCCACTTCACCCGTGGAGACCAACTGTGGACACTTGTATTGCGGTGAGTCACCTCGTAAAACCTGAAGATGATTGGAGACATTAATGACGTTGTTTGTGGTTGAAGCGGGCCGGGTCATCACTGCGGCGGGTTTACTGGCTGAGTCAAAACACAAAGCTTAGATCTGGCCATAAAATCCGGGAGAATAAGTGATGGGTGACCATATAAATCTTCATAGAACTTCCTCTGCAGAACCAGGAGACTTGAAGGAATATTTTAGGGAAGCAGAAGTAACATTTTATAGGAAATGAGCAATAACAGAAGAGACTGGATATGTGAAGTGAATTTAAATCCGATCTTCGGCCTTCCTTCAGTCTTGCACAGGTGTACAGGCTCCTCCCCTTTTGTCTTGCACAGATGTACCAGCTCCTCCCCTTTTGTCTTGCACAGGTGTGCCAGCTCCTCCCCTTTTGTCTTGCACAGATGTACCAGCTCCTCCCCTTCAGTCTTGCGCAGGTGTACTGGCTCCTCCCCTCCAGTCTTGCACAGATGTACAGCTCCTCCCCTTCAGTCTTGCACAGGTGTACCGGCTCCTCCCCTTCAGTCTTGCACAGGTGTACCGGCTCCTCCCCTTCAGTCTTGCACAGGTGTACTGGCTCCTCCCCTTCAGTCTTGCACAGGTGTATCGGCTCCTCCCCTCCAGTCTTGCACAGCTGTACCGGCTCCTCCCTGTCAGTCTTGCACAGGTGTACCGGCTCCTCCCCTATAGTCTTGCACAGGTGTACCAGCTCCTCCTCTTCAGTCTTGCACAGGTGTACCAGCGCCTCCCCTTCAGTCTTGCACAGGTGTACTGGCTCCTCCCCTTCCATTTTGCACAGGCGTATTGGCTCCTCCCCTTTAGGCATTCACAGGTGTACCAGCTCCTCCCCTTCAGTCTTGCACAGGTGTACCAGCTCCTCCCCTTCAGGCTTACACAGATGGACTGGCTCCTCCCCTTCAGGCTTGCACAGATGTACCGGCTCCTCCCCTTTAGTCTTGCACAGGTGTACTGGCTCCTCCCCTTTAGGCATACACAGGTGTACCAGCTCCTCCCCTTCAGTCTTGCACAGTTGTACCAGCTCCTCCCCTTCAGTCTTGCACAGGTGTACTGGCTCCTCCCCTTCAGTTTTGCACAGGTGTACCGATTTCTCCCCTTTAGGCATGCACAGGTGTACCAGCTCCTCCCTTCAGTCTTGCACAGTTGTACGGGCTCCTCCCCTTTAGTTTTGCATGGGTGTACCGGCTCCTCCCCTTCAGGCTTACACAGATGGACTGGCTCCTCCCCTTCAGTCTTGCACAGGTGTATCGGCTCCTCCCCTTCAGTCTTACACAGGTGTTTCAGCTCCTCCCCTTCAGTCTTAATAATAATATGCACTGTACTAACAACACTGGATAGGAAGAGGTTAACATCTAGAGCAATCAAGGGGTTAATTGTGTGCCTAACCATGTGTAATGTGTGTACTGTGTGCTGCTTTTACTAAAGATCTTGTTGTTTTTATTCCCTGCTTAGCAGGGAAGGAAAAAAACGCCAAGATCCCCTGTCAGTGAATACAGCTCTGCATTGTTTACAATCACAGAGCTGTGTTTGGTGCAAGGCTGAGCTAATCAGCGGGTCCCGGCAGTCGGTCATTGGCTGGGACCCAGTGATCAGCATGCTATGGTATATACAGTATATACTGGAATTTTTATTTATTTTTATACTACTAATGGCAGTGTTCAGCAACTTATAACGGGTCTGTGATAGTGCGGAGGGCAATCTGACACTAACTGACACTGAATGGGAACTGACTGACACTGACATCACCAGTGATAATAATACAGTGATCAGTGCTAATAATATACACTGCACTAATAACACTGGGTAGGAAGAGGTTAACATCTAGAGCAATCAAGGGGTTAATTGTGTGCCTAACCATGTGTAATGTGTGTACTGCTTTTACTAAAGATCTTCTTGTTTTTATTCCCTGCTTAGCAGGGAAGGAAAAAAACATCAACATCCCCTGTCAGTGAACTCAGCTTTGCATTGGCAGCTATGGTACATACAGTATATACTGGAATTTTTATTTATTTATTGATTTTTATACTAATAATGGCGGTGATCAGCAACTTATAACGGGTCTGTGATAGTGCGGTGGGCAATCTGACACTAACTGACAGCTAACATTAGCAGCGTTATCAAAACACCCTCTGTGCATGGAACCTTATGGCGGTGATCAGCAACTTATAATGGATCTGTGATAGTGCGGCGGGCAATCTGACACTAAGTGACACTGAATGGGAACTGACTGACACTGAATGGGAACTGACGAACTGACACTGACAAGATCCCCTGTCAGTGATTGCAGCTCTGCATTGTTTACAATGTCCCGGTGGTCATTCATTGGCCGGGACCTGGTGATCGGCATGCGCTGTAACGAATAACAGCACAGCTGGGCCAGCAGAATAAAATGAGCTTGTATGCCCTACCAGAATGTGTGGCAGAGCTGTGTAAATCTCAGAACTGGATGGACAGAAATACAAATCGTTAATGAATTGCCTCCCGTTATTTGTATTTCCTTCATTGCCTGGAGTTCAGCTATAAAAGCAATCGAGTCCCGTGCTGTAAAGTCAATATATGAGCGTGACGCGTTGTGTAAGATCCGACAGCAGCCAATCACAGGCTTCCCCTGACACACACACCCCCCTCTACTATATCACTGAACAGAGGGCGGGGCAGCGGACACAACAAACACGTCTGTCGTGGAAATGATTAAGTCGGGTCAAGCCGTGTATCTCCTAGATGGAGGACGGAAAACGTTTATGCAGCTGCAGAGGTAGAGAGGATCTGGCAGGACAGCCGCTCAGTTCCCACGGCCGCCAACCCGCCATCAAAACGCGAGAATGGACATAAGACAATATGATTTTGCGGTCACTAAGGGAGGCCATACACACTACAACTTGGTTGTACAATCTCATTTAAGTTTACCAAATCTATGAAACAAGAGGACAAATCTATACAACCCAATGGATTTCCACCCAATCCCTTACATAGTTGTTGCTAGATGTAAAAGTCACCATACGCTTGACAATCTGATTGTACAATTTCCTTTATGCAGGCCATAGATGGGTCGAAAATCGGCTAATTTTTCAGCCCAAAAAAAATCGGGCCTGTTGGTGGGTTAATTGGTCGGACGTTTTTTCGGGGTTTTGGCACATTTTTATCAGTCAAGTTGGAAAATTTGCGGCCGATTTTGACGATCGGACGATTTTCCCAGCAATGATGGGCAAATCAGCTGATTGTTTTACCGATAAAAAATCTGCGCATGAGTTGTGACAAAGAAGAAGAAAAAGAAGAAGAATTCCAGTCCGCTATTATATTTTATATGAAAAGTCTGGCAGTTGCAACAATGTATCTATTTGTATCCAGATAAAAACATCTGTATCCGAAATGAATACAAATGGCTATAAATGGATACAAATGGATACAAATGGATACAAATAGATGGATACAAATAGATACAAATGGATACAAATGGATACATTGTTGCAACCGCAAGACTTTTTCATGTCAAATATAATAGCGGAGCTCTCTGCAAGGGACAGAAGTAATTAAATGCCGGCCATAGATGGGACAAAAATGGGCCAATTTTTTTACCGTTGGTGGTAACGTCAGCCAATCGAAGGACCGATTTTTCCTTTTTTTAATAAAAAAACGGCCGGTTTTCGACCCGTCTATGGCCTGCATTAGATTTACCAAAACTATGTCATATGAGGAAAAACCTAACAGAGCATTTCAATAGTAACAAATCAGGTAGACCGTTGTACCACATCGATGATGGTAGATCTTTAGGTGACCATACACTGTACAATCTGTGTAATGCGAGGGCCTGGCTGACTGCATACAGATTCATTGGAGACATTAGGTGCGTCCTCCTATTTTATAGTTTTGATAAATGTAAGTGGGAGACTCTGATGTGGGGGGGGGGGGGGGGGCTTCTGATGTGAAAGGAGCACTCTGATGTAATAGAGGTCTTCTGATGTGGGGGGTGACCCTGGTGTGAAAGGGGAACCCTGATGTAACGGGGATTGAGGGCGCTTCTGGTTTGAAATGGGCCTCTGAAAGGGGGATACTGTGATGTATTGGGGGACTTCAGATGTGAAAGAACTCTCTGATGGGGGGGGGGTGACACTGATGTGAAATGGGGGCTTCTGATGTGATTGGGGGGGGGTGACACTGATGTGAAATGGGGGCTTCTGATGTGATTGGGGGGCTTCTGATGTGATTGGGGGGGCTTCTGATGTGATTGGGGGGGCTTCTGATGTAAAGTTATATCTTGGAGAGTGTTTATTCATCCATTGAAACTCTGATTTTAAGGGGCTGTGATGCGAACTTTGATGTAAGGGGGCACTGATGGGTGGCGACTCTGATTTAAGGGGGCTCTGATGAGTCGGAACTCTGATGTAAGGGATCTCTAATGGGGACTCTAATGTAAAGGGTCACTCTGATGGGTACTCTGATGTAAGGGGGTTCTGAGGTAGACTCTGATGTAAGGGAGCACTCTGATGGGTATTCTGATGTAAGGGGGCACTCTGATGGGTTCTCTGATGCAAGGAGGCACTCTGATAGGGACCCTAATATAAGGGGGTTTAAGGGAGACTCTGATATCAGGGAGCATTCTGATGGGAACTCTGATTAAAGGGACTCTGATGGGGACTAAGGGGCACTCTGATGGGTTATCTGATGTAAGGGAGCGCTCTGATAGGAACTCTGATGTAAGGGGGTTCTGAGGCAGACTCTGATGTAAGGGAACACTCTGATGGGGACTCTGATATATGGGAGCTCTCTGATGGGTACTCTGATGTAAGGGGGCATGCTGATAGGGACCCTAATGTAAGGGGGGTTCTGAGGGAGAGTAAGGGAGCACTCTGATAGGGGGACTCTGATTAAAGGGATTCTGATGGGGACTAAGGGACACTCTGATGGGTTCTCTGATGTAAGGGGACACTCTGATAGGGACCCTAAAGTAATGGGGGTTCGGAGGAGG